AAGGATAAGGGGATATAAGTGTATATGAGAACTGCAAGTCACTCTTCATTGAGGATAATAAAAAAAGTAGGCTGGACTTCAAAAAAGAAAAACAGGGCCAGGGATTTAGCTCAGTGGTTCCGCTGCCTGCCTTGCAAGCAGAAGGTCCCGAGTTCGATCCCCAGTACCAAAAAAAGAAAATGAAAAATAAAAACAAATGATCAAGCATAGTTCTTATAAAGAAGTAGGAGCACATATTTAGCACCCAGAGGCCCTGAGCTCATCTTAGGAGAGAAGAAAGGGGGGCAAAAAGAAAGAAGGGAGAAGGGAGAGAGGGAGGTAAAGGATGCACAGACCTTAGAAACAAAGAACTACATCCCTCAGCACACAGTTGAAAGCCAAAGTACAAAGGCACTGACAACCTATGTTTGGCATGTACAGTATTTATTATGGGCAGAGTCACCATCCTATAACTATATATACTGAGGAAAGATATACATACTGAGTGTCACATACCTATGGTCTTAATGGAACATCAAGGAAGCTAATCAACAACTTTAAATCGTAAAGTGAGAAAAGTGGTGGACATTTACAGTAAGAACAGAAAAGAAATAAATGCCTCCTAACTATACATTATCTATCAGCAAAGCAAAACAAATGTGTAAGCACTCACTGAAATTGGAATAACGGGAGGATCTAAAGTTTCCACAGAACAAAAGGTGGTGCTACACTCATTACTACAAACTTAGTAATAGTAAATGCAAAATATATATGCATTTATAGTCTGCCATAAGTTTACGTACTATCTCAAATTTATTAATCCTACTTGTTTAAGTTTTCAATCACATTTATTATAAGGATTTTTTTTTTTTTGGTACCAGGGATCAAACTTGGGTCCTTGCGCTTGCGCAGCAGGCGGCAAAACCATTGAGCTAAATCCCCGGCCCAATATAAGGATTTTGAAATACTTAACTCGCATGATTAAGAGAGTTCTACAAAATTACTTAAATTATATTTTGTCTCTTCAATGAAACACTGAGTTACTTAAACTATGTTTTTATCACTTTAAATACTCAGTACTACTTATACTCTACATAGAGCAGATGTTTAATAAATGATGATTTAACAATAGGGAAAAAAGCTAATATATATGTCTAGGAATTACTCCAAATATCAAATATTGTAAGTCTTATGAGTATGAACAAGATCTGTCATTAAGGAATTTGAAATCTTTTATATCATATTGCTGTTTTAAATATATAGGACTTTCAGGAGTTGTTTTCTTTGGACAGTAGCTATTGATGCTGTTTAACAATCACTATTTCAAAAGCATGCCAGAATTTCTTCATACTCCCACTAACATGAAAAAAAATTCTCCTTTAAAAAATATATGAACTAGATCTACCCCAGATCTATTTACGAAAGAAAGAATGATTAGAAAGCAACAACATACTCAAATAGGCATCATTACAGAATATATTACTTATTAATTGGAAATATTATGGCATCAGGAGATCAAAGAAATAAAATAGAGGCCTATGTCTGAATATTTGTAAGAGTTTTTTAAGAATCAAGCAAGTTAATTTGTAGAATTGCAGAATTTGTTTAAATTTGGTTAGAAGATAAAAACAAATCCTGGGGTCAAAGAGTATAGAAAAATGCCAATACAGATAAAAGGAACATTCAATACCTGAAATCATTTATATCTTTTACTAACGATTTTATGTTGTACACACACTAAACTTGTAAACACATACCTGTAAGGATGAACTGTGCATTTTTTAAAAATGCATAGAAAACATATGAAGAAAATTCACTGCAAAAAAACTCATGCCTAGAAAAATGCAAGACAACATATATATAAAAAAAATAACAAGTTGTATGTGCACACCGGTGGGGGGGTTGTCAAGATGTGATAGGTATATGTTCTAATTCCTCAACATGAATGTAATTACTATGTATCACAATTATTAAAAATATTAAAAGAATAACAACATGTCTACCAGCAAATCAAACAAATCTGCAACATGACAAGTCACCATAAAAAAACCATAGTTAATTGGAATCATTGTACATTATTGATAGGACGTAAAATGTTGCAGACAAATGGGAAACAGTTTGGGGGGGTTCCTCAAAAAGTTCAACTAAATTACCAGTAACTCCACTACCAGGTATACACTTGAAAGCAAGTGTTTAAATTAACACTTGTATACAAATGCTCACAGCAGTACTATTCACAATAGCCAAAAGGTGGGAACAATCTAAACATGCATACCAGATGAATGAATAAACAAAACACAATAAATCTATACAGTGGATTATTCAGCCTTTAAAGGTAATGAAGTACAGACACACATTACAATGTACATAAACTTCTAAAACATTATGCTAAGTGAAAGAAGCCAGACACAAAGGCCACATTCTAGGTGGTTCTGTTTACATGAAATATTGAAAATAGATTAATCTACAGAGACAGAAAGCAGATTAGTGCTTGCCAGAAACTGGAGGAAGGTGGAAATGGGGAAATGACTGCTCAGTGGGTTCTGGATCTCCTTTAGACACTGGACTAAGAATTTCTGAATTAGACAGAGGTGATAGCAACACAACATTGTGCATGTACTAAATGCTGCTGAACACCTTAAAATAAATTGTTATGTTCCACTTCAATACAATATCCCCCCAAAAGTTCTAGACGTTTATCTTTTTTACAATATAACAATACTAGTTTTCTCAGACAGTTTAGTCAGATAACTGATTACCAACCTTCTTTTCTTTAATACTGTAAGAGACAACTTACTAAACTCACCACTTCTTTCCTCTAGATCCATACTTCCATATTGCTCAGTTGCCTCTTATTCTATCTTACCTTCCTATCAATTTCACTTTTCCGAGAAACCCCTGTTCTATCATGAGTCAGGTCCCGGCTAACTTGTTTTCTATATTCCCCAGGTTTATAACTTTGAAGTCATCATTAAATCCTTTTATCTCCCTTACCCAACAACAAGTTATGTCCATTTTCCTAAAGCTCTCTCTTAAATCCACTTCCTCCTTGCTATATTAATACTGTATTCCTACAACTACCTCAGTCCAGATTACTACAAAGCCTATCCATTCATCCCATCTTGAAAACTGCTAACTCTACAATTCAACCTCACATAGTCACTAGAATCCTTTCTAAAATAGAAATGTGAGCATGTTACTTGTCTGCTTGAAATCCTTCAATGGCTCCAGGATTTTCAAGACAGTTCTTTGAGATGGACATAGATAGCACTTTCATGAGCTAGACCCTATTGCTCTTACTGGACTTATAATCCCTTACTTCTCAACTATCACCTCACCAATCAAACTAAAATACCTTCACATCCCGAAACTCACTGTTTTCATTCCGCTGTGCTTTTGCACATGCTATTCTCTTCACCTAAAACCATCCACTCCAACCTTACCACTAACCCCTTCTTCAAAATTCAACTCTTACACTCTGGTCTCCAAGTTTTTTCCAACTCTCCAGTCTGAAATAAGTGTCTTCCCATGTTCCCATGCCAATTTTTTTTTTTTTTTTGTACCAGGGATCAAACTTGGAACCTTAAGCTTTAGAGGTAGGCAGTGGAACCACTGAGCTAAATCCCCACCCCGCAAATTTTTTTTTTTTTTAGGATTTTTTTAAGGTTAGCTTCTTTAAGATTGTCTTTCCTTTCAATGACACAATAATTACACAATATGATTTTAATTAATAAGCCTCCTCCACATGCCTCCTTTTAAATGAAACCTATCTTTTGCCAACAATACCTTGTAACTAGTAAGCCTCACATGGAACATCTCCTTATCCTGATTCTACTTTATTTTGTTAATATCTTTTTGATCTAGCTTTTCTTCTCTTTGCTGTCAAATTCTAAGGTCAGCAAACTACAGCCTATGCTAGCCACCAGTTTTTGTAAATAAGATCTTACTGGAAAAGCCACCCGAATTTCTTTAGTTATTGTCTAAGGCTGCTTTCCCACAAAGGCATTGGTGAACAGCTAGCTAAGAGATCCTATGGCCTGGAAGCCTAAATAACTTCCTGTCTGATTCCTTAAGAAAAGACTGTTACTGAGGCCGGGGATGCAGCTCAGTGGCACTGCGCCTGTCTGGCAAGGGCAAGGTCCTGAGTTCAAACCCTGGTAACCAAAAAAAGAAAAGACTGTTACACCCTGGGGATCTGAACTAGATCTACATTCAATGTCATCATTTCTTCTTCGAACAGGAGGGTACCGCTAAAGGTTTTTAAGCAGCAGTAAAGTGCCATGAGTAAAGGGGCATCTCAAGACTACTAGTGTATAGAGAACTATGGCAAGAGATTTGGCATACATATAGTGTGGAAAACAAAGGGAAAGGAATTTTTAAAGGAATGACTTTTTAAGACTGGATAACTACATGGGACAGAGGAAACAAAGCTAATGCCAAAATTTTAATCCTCAATGATGTGACTACTGGAATTTGCATTCTCTCCTACCATCTACTTTAGACTTTCAGCTTTTCAAATTTTCCTATCTTATTGGCTAATTAGTTTAGCCTCTAAAATCCTAATAATAATTCTATTGTTTCTGTGTAGTAGGCATTTCCAGTGCTTGCTATGTGGCTAACTCCTGGGAAAGCAAAGTATTTAGGAAGAGGCAGTCCCAACGGAATTCACCAAACTTGAGTACAAGAGTAATGTCAGAGATAGATGGAGATGATAGTACTCACCTGTGGCATTAAGCAGAAAGAGAAGGAAACTAAGATTTTGGATCCAGACCTGGGTCTAGCCAAATAGGAAGAAACAGCTATAAATATGCTTATAGAAGCAGACTGTCTTTGGTACTCTACATATTCTTTCTGATGTTCAGACAGACCACCATTAAAGTAGCCTCTGGTAAGAGTTTCATGAGAAACAAGATCAAAAAGTGAAGAATTAAATGGAGTAAACCCTACTGCTTTTTTATGTAGGAAAAGCAGTCCTTATTAAAGATGATACTACTTTTCAAAGTGGCCCGTGTGATACTAACCTTCAGTGACAGAGTTTTCACATCCCACAATGTTGAGAAGGATATCATCATCTTTCTCATCTACTTCACACCCTAGTAGCATCCAGCTTTCCACATTTTCACTTTCAGAAATGATGCTTTCTTCCTCTTCACTTGAACTGACCTCTATAATCATGACCTCTCGGATCACACCTGATCTTTCTTCAGGTTTAGGCTTCTCAATTTTTCGTTTGGATTTCTTATCAGTCAACTCATCAGAATAAGGAGAAGCAGGGGGTGCTCTGGTCTTTTTTTGTGCTTGCACTCTAATATTCTTTCTTTTACATCTATAAATACTATCTTCATCAGACAAAGCGATGACATCTGACCCGTCTGATAGTTGGATGACCTCACTATCTGAAAGGACAATTAAATTCTGATGTGGTTTAGTACTCAATTCAGAATTCCCAGGGTTCTTTTCCTCATGTCCTTCCTCTCTGATAGTATTACCAAGATCTTGGGCATAATGAACTTGGCTGTAGAGCTGAAATTCCACCTCACTATCAACACTTAGTTCACTAGATGATTCTTCACGATAAAGATCATCTTCATATGCTTCTATAGTCTCATAGCCACCGAACATCATGGAAAGTCAGGAACCTCAATTCTGTAAGAGAAAGTCACATAATGTATTTTAAAAGCTCAGATCTTGTCTGGTTAGTGCATTTCACCCCACAGAGCCAACTTCTATGTGAAGGTCATTACTTTTCTCTGACACATTAAAATACATTTTTTTTTCTCTTAAGAGTATCTTTTTTCCATGGATTTCTAAATCATGTTATGACTACTGTAATAATATCCATTCTCTCAAATGAGAATTACTATCAATAACTTGAGTTATAGTTATTAACGGAAAAATAATTCATAGATATAGTGGAAAAGAAAAACAGGTTGAGATCTACTGCTTGACACTGAACACCTGTTCTCCAAAATGTTAAAGCTTACAAAAAGATTTGAAGTATCTCTTGCTATTCCATTTATTCCTCATCTCTTCCTTGGTGCTGGTTCTGTATCTCCTCTTTATCACTTCTCGGCCTTTTGGCTAAGATCAAGTGCTGTATCTCCTCTTTTCACGAACACATCCTCATAAAGGAATATTACTTCAACTCTGACTAAAATCCACAAGAAGCCACCATTATACTTGTTTGAATGCAGATGCTAATTCTCAATTTAAAAATGCATCTCAAGGGGAAGAGGTGCAGTTCAGTTGCAGAGTACATGCCTAGCATGTGCAAGGCCTTGGGTTGATCCCCAGCATAAAAAAAAAATTTAATTTCACAACTGTCTAATCCTTGGCCAAAAGAGTATCTCTGATAAAACTATCTCTATATTAAATTATAAAAAACAAACTTACTCAAATCAAGGCAAAACTCACAACTCTGGAAATACATGCATAAAGAAAAACACTTCACTTTCCTACTATGAACAATTAAATCCTGTTCATCCTTCAACTGGGCTTTAACATTACTTCCCACCAGACTAAATTAAGTGTCCTTTTTATAGGCTTCCATAGCACTTTATATTTCAAAATACTCATCACATTTCTAATTACTTATTCAGTGTAAATGTCCCAGAAGTACACAATACAAACCTCAGAAGGGCAGGAACTATATGCACTTTGTTACACAATGGCTACCAAAGCCAAAGGTAATGTTTAGGGAGACTTCTATATACATTTGTTGAATTAATCAATGAATAAATGAATTATATCATCAGGTATTTGTTCTTCAGGCCTGATTAAGTCTAATAGCTTCCTATAATATAGAAGTTACAATCAAATAATTAACAGTTAGCTTCAACTATTCCAAAGAAGAAATTCTCTTATCAGCCAAAAATTTACACTGAGCTAAATCCCTGGCTTGAAAAATCTACTCTTAAAAATCAAGGGTTTCCGGCCAGGGATTTAGCTCAGTGGTTTCACTGCCTGCTGAGCAAGCACAAGGACCTGAGTTCAATCCCAGGTACCAAAAAAGAAAAAAAAAAAAATCAAGAGTTTCAGGGCTGGGATTTAGCTCAGTAGCACCACGCCTGCCTCACCAGGGCAAGGTTCGATCCCCAATACCAGAAAAAAAAAAAAAATCAAGAGTTTCAATTAGGTATTCATGGAATATTGATCAAAATGAGAGTTCTGGAAAAACAAGTCATGTTTGTTCAAATATCAAGGATACCCTAGAAAACAGTTCATAATGTCAATTTAGTCTTTCACTTTTAGCTACACAGATAGGAAAGAATCGTCATTTTCTTAGTTTCCCAATTCTTTGCCCCAAGTGTCAGGATGTAGTGATTGTGATGGTAGTTTTAGTGATAGAACCAGATAACCCAATAATCAAATAAATAAAAGCCCAAAATGCACTAAATTCAAGCTGCAGTTTTTTTGCTTTCCAGAAATGAAGAAAGCAACTCTTAATACCTTTTTTCTTCTAAAGGCCTAATAAACCTGCCTCCTTGTTGAACTTTCAGGTTGCTATGCTGTTATTGTCACACAAGTTGAATGTGGCTGACTGTATAATAATGCTCATGGCATTTATCAGTTTATATTGAAATGTTAGCCTCAGAGAAATCCAAATGAAAGATGAATTCTTTCCTTTTTATTTAATAGGCAAATTAATTCTAAAATAAGTCAAAGGAATTATGGTTCCTTCAAAATCCTCACTGGATCCATCCTGAAGGATCCAGTGTGGACTTAAGATAAAACATAATTCCAGTGCAGCACAGAAAAAATTAAAGAGCTAAATTACAGTTACAAATTTGTACTACTCTTCGAGCCATCCCAAAGGAAAGGGATTAAGAATAGGGCCATAGGCACACCTGTGAATGTATGCCAAAAATAAACTACAGAACCATAATAAAAACTGACTTCCTTAGGTGTAAGGATTTATCTCTTTCCCTGAAATGTAGAGAAATGAATTTAACAATTTAGCCCCTATGGCCTTTAAGAGGATTTTGTACTTCTGTACTTGAAAATTGTGCTCAGGCAAAACATCTTCTCTTCTATTTATGTATCTTATATATGCCAGGGATGAGGTTTGCCTCAGGCTGTTTTGGTTTATGTTACTACTTTAATTACATTCAACTGTGTTTTTTTTTAAAGTACACTGGGAAATGAATATAAAATATAGATATATAGATATATTTATAGATACATATCCCTTGACTCAGAAGTCTTTCTCAGCTTTTTGATCATTGTACAGGACTCCCAAGTACATTTAACTTGATTAACAGAAGGTCCTCATGAAAGTCCCAAACTTTTAAATCCAAAAAGTACCTTCTGGATTATTTCACACAGCCCCCTTAATGGACATATTTGAGGTCCAAAGAGATAAAAAGGCCTATCCAAGGTCAGGCAGCTGGTTAAGAACACAACTAGAAGTGATTTACATTTTCCTGACTCTCTGCCAAGCTTCACTAAGACTTTTTTTTCTTTTTTCACTAAGATTTTAAAACATAATTTTTAAAATACATAATTTCAGATATTGTTATATATTCATTGGCTCTACCACCTAAATTTACTTCACACATATCCATTTTACTTCTCATTGGTGCATAAAAACCATGAAAGAGCGCTGGGGATTTGGCTCAGTGGTTCCGCCACCTGCCTCGTAAGCACAAGGTCCCGAGTTCAATCCCCAATACCAAAAATAAAAAATAAAAAAATAAAAACTATGAAAGAGGCATTTTAATTAGAAGGAAAAGCACATATTTAAAATCTGTCAGTTTACTAACCAAGAACCTCCCAAGTTGATACTCAGAGACTTTGTCAATTCTATGACTGAAAAAAATGGGTAAGAATATGAATTATCACTTAAGTATGAAACTCATCTAAAGAATAAAAATGGCTTACCAAACACAAAACAGCTATAGAAAATAACTACAAAGGTTCTTGCCATCGAAAAAGACAGCGGTATTCATTCACTCAATTTTTTTAAATGGGACAACTTAAGGTTTGTTTAAGCTCTTGGAATTTACTCACAATATTTAAAGCAATGCTTCTGCTTTAATAATCCACCAACTGGATCATTCCAAATATTTTGCTCTTATTTCCTTTCAAAGCATTTTCAGCTTAGATATTCACTCTTAATGAATTATCTATAGGCATCCACTTCAGGCAGATTTAAATAAAACCCACAGCTTTTCCTTTTCCTCCTCCTCCTCTTCTTCCTCCTCCTTCTTCTTTTTCTTCTTCTTCTTCATTTGCAGTGCTAGGGATAGAACCCAGCGAAGTGGGCATGCCAGGCTAGCACTCTACCACCGAGCTACAACCCAGCCCTACAGCTTGATTTTAAATCCAAGTTGCACTGGAAAGTGACATATATATATATATATATATATATATATATACACACATACATATATATATATATATATATATACTTTATTCTCAACATTTCTCATTTGCTCTTAAGTTTGTGACCCTGACAACAAAAATAAGTGTAAGATTCAAATTTCTGTCCATTCTTCAAATGTGACTGCCATTTCAAAACAAATATAACTGGCATAGAGAATCCAAATGTGTGAAACAGTGGTAAAAATGAGGAAGACAGAATCCTGGGGGGGAGGAAAATATGTTAAATTTACTGAGGTATTTCCCAGCTATCCTTGGGATACTGTAAATGCTTTTTAGAGGATCTAACCCTATCTGGAAACACTTTCTTCACCATTCCCTCAGCACGCCTCCTTTTTACGTGTAGTCTCTTATCTCTGTAAACTGTCACACAACCCTCATGTTTTACTCTTCCTCAGTCCATTCAACACCTTCAAATTCTCTTGATAGCAATATTAAACTGTCCCCAAAGACTTAATATTGTCTTAAACATACACAGTTCTCTTAGTCTCTGTAATTAAAAGTTCTGAAGAAACCTGAAAAAGTTATCGAATTTACTCTCATGTTATACTTAGAGAAACACGGCTCATAGAAATATATCCAATGAGCCAAAAAAGCCCTAAATAACTAATTCAACCCTGAAATCTGAAATAATTGTAAATTCAGCCAAAAGAAGAGATATGTAGAGTCACCAACTACTCAGTGGTGGAGATTTGGTTAAAACCTATGTCTGTTGACTCCCGGCCACACTTTTTTCCAAATACCGGCAGGACTTCCCTAAAGTTTAAGGCACCAAACGGCTAAAGGACCTGAGAGATAAAAGAAATCTCAGTGAATAAAATCTAAGTCTCCTTCTTTTAATAAGAAGGGACGCAACTACTGAAACTGTTCTGGTTCCACAGCTGCAGCTGCTACTTCTGACTGGAGAGGCTGGAGTTAGCCCAAGGGCTATCAGGTCCTCACAGGCCGGAGTACCGCTGAGCCCAGCAGAACCTCGGGGTTTAATTCGCCGACCTGCTTTCCTAAAATGGAACTCCTGGGGAAGGGTGCGGTGGGTAAAATGGACAGAAAAGCCACCCCTTCGGGGGCTATCAACGCTCAGCCCTTCTTGAATGACGGCCTCAGGCCGTGGAGGAACAGGAGACGCGTAAACCCCAGCCTGTCAGCCGAGCCGCGTGGGGCAGCTCGCGGCTTAGGGGCCAGGAGCAGCGCCTAGCCACTAGTGAGGTGGGGGTGGGGGCGCGGAGCCGGGCGAGGGGGCTCGCGCTACTTCCACAGCCCGGCGGGTAAGACGGAGGGCGGGCAAGGGTCTCCCAGCCGTGGGAGGCTCGGGGCCCGTCACACACATACTCACTGCCGCCGCTGCGACCAGGAAGCACCAACCAGGAACCAAAACGCGGAAAGGGACGGGGAGGGGCGAGGACAAATGAGGTGAGGAAGCCGCGTCCGCGCGTACTCGAGAGGAGGGAGGCACTTCCGGAAAAACACAGCTCTCCACAGTCCTCCTTCCGTCTCCCCCCACCTTTCGGGCCCTCTTTGGGCCTGCGTAGTAATTGTTAACCTTTTTTTTTTTCTTCCCCACAAATAAGCTTTTGCTTTGCTTGCTTTTCTTTGTTCGTCCCCTTTCACACCTGCTTTTGAAAAAAACCTAGGCTGACTCTACGATGATGTAAATGTTGTTCGAATCCGTTGAACAAGAGAGATGCTGTGAAAGGGCAAAAAACGAGAGCTCGCGCCTGCTGTTAACGCCAGAAAACTTCGACTCCCATGAATCGCTGGGCGAGTTTCAGGACTGGCTCTCTTCCTCGTCCCTCGCCCTCCCGGGACGCCTACCCCGTGCCGCCTGCAAGCTGGGTGGCGAAGAGGACATTTATGGCGGGCTAGTTGGATAGAGGACTGAGGAACTCCAGCCAGGGAAAAGGTCCTGTTGCGTGCGCCTGGCGTCTAATGCCTTCACCCGTGCTGTGGGTGACCTTGGTAGTCCCTTACTCCTTGCAGATTGGGGTTGAATTTAGTTTACACTGGGGCGCTTCCGCTTTCCGTCAATACCAGACAGCCGATTAACCCTTTGTGAACATTGAAGAGTTGCATACCAATTATTGGGAGTGGCTACTGATTGTTTGGAAGCTTCCAAAAGCTTCTAGATTGTGCTGGGATCCTCTCCCCTTCTCACTTTTTTTTTTTTTTTTTTAAGGTACCGGGGAATCGAACTCAGGTCCTTGCGCTTGCTAGGCAGGCGGTAGAACCACTGAGCTAAATCCCCGGCCCTCACACTTTTAAATTTACTTAATCGTAGGAAACTGATCTGTGTGATTTTACAAATAACATTCTACTAAATGATTGAAGTCTTAAAAGATAAACTTGACTTTATTTTTTCTTTTCTTCATCATTTACTGAACATCTGTTTAAAAGCCAAGCTGAATGAAAATGCAGAGTAAAATAGTAAAGGTCAGGAATCTCACAGAGTTTAGAGTTCAGCTGGAAAGATAGCATAGTTTGATGATAGTCTAAATTTGGCCAGAAAAATAATTTTAAAATTTGACCAACATTATGGTAAGTGCTAGAAAAGAAAAAGACAAATTACTGTGAAAAGGAAAAATTGGAAGCCCCATTATAGAAATGAGTCACAGATTTCTGGACTGTTTTGACATAGAGCCCTCAATAGGGACAGAGTACAAACTCCTAGGTCCTTAACCTGTTGGGTATTCATTAAGAGCATAATTTGTGTTTTCTTCTAAAGCGGTCAGGGACTTCAAAGTGATTTTGCTAAAAAAAAAAAACTGACTTCCTTTGGGCCTACAGATGCCCATAGACAACTAAAAGTAGAACAAACCTTGGCCTTCATTAATGGAAGTCTCCTTTATTAACTTAAAATGTTAGGTTAGATGCCTGCTCAGCTCTCCATATACTCATGTGAATTATTTAGGGAAGGTCTGTCTAAAAACTGGCAGTACAAAATTTATTAGTTCTAAATTTACAAAACCTATATCATCTCACTTAATGACTGAGGACACCAAGATAAATTTAAGAGATGTTCACCTACTGATGCAAAGTTTCCAGTCACTGCTCTAAATCCAAGGTTACCTTGGATTTTAGCAGAGCTTTCCACAAGACTGAGACTGTCCCAAGCAGAAATAATCCTCTCATGGACACACTCTTGCCCCCTCAAGCAAATAAGGACTTCTCCCAGAGCTTAAAGGAGCCCAGAGCAATGTCTTCTTCCAGACATGAGATAATGGTCAACCAGCCACTAAACTACTTTGCCTAACCCATAAAGGTTTCCTGACTCTCTGGGAAGTTGAGGCAGGAGGATTCCAAGTTTGAGCCCAACCTGAGCAACTTAGTGAGACCCTGTCTCAAATATAAAAAGGAGCTGAGAATATAGCTCAGTGTGAAGACCCTGCATTCAAACACCCCATTGGGTGGGGTGCTGATCTAATTCTTTTGTTATAGGCCAGTCTAATCCTATAGAGCTGTGACCCTTTCTCAAGCTAAAGTCTGTTCCCTATTTTCTCTTACTTTCTAACTCTGCCTAATAAATCTGCCTGTGACTCTCACTGATGCAACTTAAAGTTCTCTTTCTGCAATGATGAGTCGAGATCCTACTCTGCAGGGCCAGATGATGTGCCCGTCTCCTCTTTGGGGGTACCTCATGAGACTCCATCTGGTGACAGTTTGTTCCAGTAATGTATAAAATGAATGTTAACTTTTCTTTAATTGGATTTTTATCAAGTGCCAGGCTATGTCTTTTTGGTGTAGTATGATACAATCTCTTTCAAATTCAACAACACTTTAAGGTTCTTTTTAAAAATTTTTTAAGTTTTAATTTATTTAATTTTGGGTTTTTTTGAGACAGGGTCTTTCTATGTATTTCAGGCTGGCCTTGAACTCACTATGTAATCCAGGCTGGCCTCAAACTTACCGTAATCCTCCTGCCTTGTCCTCCTGTGTACTGGGATTACTTATAGGTGTGTGCCATCGCTCCCAACACCCTATCTTCTCACTATTATATGTTCAACAAAAATGTATTTCTTTCCTACCTCAAAATGCTTCAGTCATTTCCTTCAGGTTGTCTTAAAACATGTAGTCCTTTGGATGGCATAAATGGCTCTTCATGAGCTGACGTATGTCTATTCACTGATAGACATAATCTATTCATTAACAGACATAGTATCTATTTACCAACACCTGAGCAGTTGCCAGCATGCTATGTTCTGCCACATCTGTGTCTTTATAGATAACACTCCCATTGCCTGTAAAGTGCTCTCTGTCCTTGGGTGAGGTACTTCCACTCACCCCACTCTGCTGAAGCCTGTGATCTTTAGAGAAACCTTCCAGTCAGCCAGACAGAATAGGCATTCCTTCCCCAAGACTCCCTATAGTTTGGACAAACCCCCATTAAGGCAATTATATTATATTGGTTCTACAGTTGTGTTCTAGCTAAACTGGAATTCTCTGAAGTTCTGATTTGATATTTGCATGTTTACTGCCTAATACAGTGCCTAGCAGACAGCAGAGCACTCAATTCCACTTCAAGAAGCAAGAAGCAGAATTGGATCCAACTGTCAGTTCAGTGGGAAAACCATGTCAGGATCCCAAATAACTGGAATGCAGTGTGGTACTGCATGACATTAGGGTGGATGTAAAGAACTGCAGGAGTCCAAGGATACAGTTTTTTCTGATTAAGGACAGTAGTGTATACACACACACCCCATGTCTTTACATAGTAATTTCCCGTTTGGGAACATTAGAAATCATGTGGTCAAGGTTTATTCCAGTGACTGAAGTCAGGAAGGAAGAAATTAGCTAAGAGTCACCTAGAAGAGGCAGAGCTGTGTCTGTAATCCAGGTCTAATTGGAAACATGACTCAACTACACATATACATGCACATTTACACATGGACATACACACACACACCAGTTTCCTTTTCACTTCAAGCTTTTTCTGATCCCCACTTCTTAAAATCATGAGTAGCAGCATGTATAAGTACCCTTGAAGCCTCTCTTATAGAGAATATTCTAAAGGTACCATTTATTTGAGGATAGAACCATCTGTTCTATCCCAAGGAAGTGACAGTGGCAGTTCTGCATCAATAATTAGGATAAGGGACCAGGACAAAGCGGAAACCTGCTGCAGAGGGCAGGTAAGGTAGGTGACAAACTAGAGAGATGTGGATCAAGGACCGGGGATTTAGCTCAGTGGTTTTTCTGCCTGCTGCATAAGCACAAGGACCCGAGTTTGATCCCCAGTACCAAAAAAAAGAAAAAGAAACAGGAGAGATGTGGATGAGTGGAGCATATTACCCATGCTTATCATCTTCAGGTTGACCTCAAACTTCAATAGAAAAAGCAAGAAGGTACCTTTTTTTCCAGTGTGTTAACAGGTCCTGAAACTAATCACTTTGATGACTTACAGTTGCCTTTCACTTACTATTCATTTACTGACAGCTGACCACTGTGCTAAACAGGCTCTCACTAGCCTCCTCAGATATACTGCCTCTCACCTAGCCTCAAAATGACTCTATAAGAAGGATATTAACCTCATTTCCCTACTATGGAAATTGAGATTCGGAGAGACTAAGTATCTTGTATAGCTGGGATCCAAATCAAGTCTTTGTGAATCCAAAGCTTATATTCTTTTCTATGCCCTAAGGCACATTTCAGAACTAAACTTCATCATGGAGCCTGTAATGATCTATATTTCCAACCAGTACCTAGCCTAAGGCCAGGCACATAGTGGGCTCAAAGTGAACACTTGTTGAATAAGTGAATTCCAAATGGGATAGTTGACAAATGAAGACCTGGGTTCAGCATAAACAGTGTTTTGGGACAGCAGAGGAGGGCACAGCTGGCTGCTTAGAGAAAATGGAGAAGTCTTTACAGAGGAGGAAGATAGGGCCTGGGCAAATAGGTAGTAGTAGAAAAAGACCAACAATCCAGTATTCCAAGAGCAAAAGATACTAGCTGGCAATTCACAGGACAAGAAATCCAAAAGACCATAAACTATGATAAGAGGTGCTCAATATCACTAATGATCAGAAATATGTAAGTGGTCTCATACATAGTGGATGGGAATACAAATTGTAAAGGTATTTGAGGATAAGTATTTAATATTATCTAGCAAAATTTTAAGTGAAGGCTGGGGATGTAGCTCAGTGGCAGAAGCCCTAGGTTTGATCCCCAGCACCACACAAAAAAGTGAGCTGTGTTCTTAAATGTGTATTTGCAATTGTTGCAAAATATTCTGACAGAAAAATGGAAAATAAGTATTCACCAATAAGAAACAAAACAAACAAGGACAAATCTGTAATACTTTTTTTATTTTTTATTTTTTTGGTACTGGGGATCAAACTCAAGACCTTACGCTTGCGAGGCAGGCGCCAGAACCACTGAGCTAAATCCCTGGCCCTATACTACTCTTGTTTTTTTTTAGGCTATGCTTCTTGTAAAGAAAAAAAAAAGGATGAAATTGCATCTTGGATAGATCATGGAAAGATCCAAGACAATACAGTTAAATGAAAAAGAAGGAAAATTGTTGAAATGTAAGTGTATGATGTACTCATCAGAGTTTTTTATTTTTTAAGACAGGATCTTGCTCTTGCTGTGTAACTCAGGACGACCTTGAAATTGCTACATAGCATGCAGTCTCCCACCTCATCTTTCTGTGTGCTAGAATTATGGACATGTACCCCCACACCTTTTTTCAAAAGGATACATGTACATGCCTAACTATAGATATTTGTATATTAAGTGCCTAAAGAAAATACTGAATAGATGGGCCAAGGATTTAGCTCAGTGGTTTCGCTGCCTGCTGTGCAAGCACAAGGACCGGAGTTTGATCCCCAGTACCAAAAAAAAAAAAAAATACTGAATAGATACCAATGAATGCCAATGGTTATTTACTTCTGAAGAGAAAAGTGAGACTAGAGTTAGATGAAGGACTTTTACTTAAAAAAAATTGTAAAGCCAACTATGATGACTCTTGCCTGTAATGTCAGCAATCCAGAGGCTGAGGCAGAAGGACCACTAATTCAAGGTCAGCCTAGGCAACTTAGTGAGCTCTGTCTGAAGATAAAACAAAGGGGCTGGAGGGTGGCTTCATGGTAGGGCACTTGCATAGCCTGTGCAAGTACAGATTCAGTACCCAGTATCAGAAAGAAAAAAGTCAATAGAAATCAGATGGAGATTCCTTAAAAAACTCAAAATAGAAATTCCTTTTCATCCAGCTATAGCTTCTCTGCACATCTTCCCTAAAGAATTAAAGACATTTCCTTATTTACAAAGGCTTTGTTTCCATTTTTCCTTCTATTTTCTCTTTTTTTTTCTTGTCCCTTCTTTCCTTCCTCCTTCGCCCCTCCCTTGTTCCTCTTCTCATTTGAACATTTTCTTCCCATTTCCCAATATGTATTACATATTTTGGTCCTTATTTCCACTCTCAGTTTTTCATGTCAGAGAAACAATATCATTTACAAAAATGTATGTCTGACTTATCTTTTCAAAAGTGTCAGTGGGATGAAATACATAGACGGAAGAATTGTGCCACATTAAAACAGACTGAATGATACATAGTAAACACAATAGATGATCTGGGATTTTCTTTTCCGAAAAAGAAAGAACAGTTTGGGCCGGGGATTTAGCTCAGTGGTTCCGGCACCTGCCTCGCAAGCATAAGGTCCTGAGTTCGATCCCTGGTACCAAAAAAAAGAAAGAACAGTTGGCAAAATTTAAATTTAGATTAGAAGACAGCATTGTATCAGTGTTATTTTTGTTATTTTCCTGATTTTTGTGTTCACATATGGTTATGTAACCGAATGTCTTCGCTGCTGCTTTTTTTTTTTTTTAAAGGTATACACACTGAAGCACCTAGTGTAAAGGGGTATAGTATCTGAAACTGATTCTCAAGTAGTGCAAAAACAGATTATAAGTGTTGAAAAGGGAGAGGGAAAAAAAGAAGAGTATGGTAAAAAGTTAACATCATGGGAATCTAGGTGAAAGGTGTACAAGAATTCTTTGTATTAATTTTGTAATTTTTCTTTAAATCTAAAATTATGTCAAAATATAAAATGAAAGGGCCAGGGATTTAGCTCAGTGGTTCTGCTGCCTGTGTTGCAAGTCTAAGGTCCTGGGTTTGATCCCCAGTACCAAAATAAAATAAAATAAAAGGAAAAATAAAGAGAATGAGCAAGACGTTGCCAGAGAGACAGAAGGCAGGAAGATCTTCTGGCAATGGAACAAGATAAGCAAAGGAAACTGCCAAAAGCAAGAGTCTTACATGTTGAGAAATAACTGGTAGCTCTGAGAAACCAGACATAGTATGGTGTTGGGAGGAGAATAAGTATAATGAGCAACATGACCCAAGATGGATGCATTCCCCTGCTACCTAATTTTGGAATTAAGTTTGTCTGTCTGTTTTGAGACAGGTCTTGCTAAGTGCACAGACTGACTTGAAACTCCCAATCCTCCCATCTCAGCCTCCTAAGTAGTTAGGATTACAGGCATGTATCACCATGCTTGGCAGAAATTAAGATTTTATATCTTCTTTATACACAGCCTCAAGTCCTGAAAGAAATAACTTAAGTTCTTATGGTGACTCAGTTATTTTACTGGCAATTTCATACACTGACTACAGAAAAATAAGAAATCCTGGAATCATGGCTGAAAAGAACTTGTAGTCCAGTTCCCTCAATTTGCAAAAGTGAAAAACAAAACATAAACTGGAAAAGTGATTTGCAAAGTCCTAGCTAGTGCTGGTATTAAAATTGGCCCCTCACGCACAATACTTTATTCTTTCTGCTGCACCAAAATCTGAATTAAAGGATAAGACAGAAATAGAAAGTTGCCAAGTAAAATAGTTGAATATTACCCTTTATAGTTTGGATGCTTTTCATTTGCCTGAAATACAGACTTAATGTTGGTAAATTTTATGAAAGTAAATATAGGCAGCAATGTGATTATAGAAACAATTATCACTTAAAGCCGATACATTGGAACTAGTAAGCAATATTCAATTTAGGCTCCTAGGTCTGAAGCAGCAAACAAGGTGATTCTCAGGAATTCTCAGTGACATTGGTATCCATCTGGATTTGTTGAAAAGTTTAACGTCCTTTTTTATTATTCATGATTTTGCAGTTCTTCAGATTGCAAGGTGATGGAGAGAGCACGCAATTTTCAACCAGACTATGAAATCATTCTTGAAAATTTGGACATTCATATAGATGGCTTTTAAATTTTCTTGGAGACTGCCTGTTCTTATAAAATCATGAAATGTAAAAGATACATATACTATAAATTAAGCTATATAAATGATAATATTCTCATTACAATAAAACTCTATGGATAAGGTGCTAGTATTCAAGGACTCCATTTCCCTTTGTTATTATTCCTAATTGGAATTGCATTCCTCAAAACTTAGAGCTAAGTGACTATATAATGAACATTGACTAGCAAAACTACATTGACATTCTAATTTATGTAAGAATCATTTGTGGTGTAGATGTAGCTCAGGGTAGAACATGTTCATTTAGCATGCAGGCAGTCCTGGATTTTTTTTAAAAAATCAGATTTCATACAAGAAGTCTTGAAGCACATGTTAGAAGCTACTAACTCCAAAGGCAAGCCTTTAATTTAAACATCCATGTGCCTTGGATCCATAGATTCCAACAGATGATGAGACACACAAGCTTAAAAAGGGAAGGCTTTATTTAGATCTCATTCTGTAGAGAATAGCTTCCTTTAGCTGCCCATTCAAGACCTCAGAATCATACATAGCTGCAGTTTTCAGTTGAGATGTGCTTTGTGACAATGCTAGCATAACTTATTTTATTCCAGACTTTAGATTGACAACAGGAGAAAAAATGGAGAATAATTAAATTCACACTACCAAATGAGCCATATACAGCTTACTGTAATGAGCTTAAGCACAATTTCATGGAATAAACTGTAGATTTTATGCTTTGTGTTTCAACCATTATTATCCATTGTTTTTTTATTAACTTAGAAAAACCATGAGCAATGTAGGGCTTAAAAAGAATTGTTTCTATTTTAATACAGTTCACATTCTCCTTCTCTGCCAACGTTCTGAATCTGACACTCTTCTATGACTGGTACAGGTCTGCATTTGGGTGTTGTTATGGTTTGGGTCTAGATGTCCCCCTAAAACCTCATGCAGTCATAGGTGGCTTTTTCAGAAGTGGCTGAATCTAGAATGTGTGATGCTGGGATTAAGGGTGTGTGATTACTAAATCAGTCCACTGATTGGTTTGGCACTGGCCTAATCCCAGTAGTCTGGATAAGATAAAAGGGGCAGAAAGATGCCATTAAAGTCCCTCGTTCCTTTGCTATCTTCAGTCTGCCATGAACTGTTGCCCCTCTGCCATGCCACCTTGCCTTGGAGCCAGCTAATTATGGACTAAAACAGCTACAAACTGTGAGCTAAATAAGAATTTCCCCTTTTAACTTTGGGTGCTGGGTATTTTGTCTCCACAATGAGAAAAGTAATTAAGGCAGGTGAATCAGCTGAAAGGGTATCTTCTCTCAAGGTGTTTTACAGCTATGTCCCTTGTCCTTGGGGAATACATTCCAAAACCTCAGAAGGATGCTTGAAATTGCAGATAGTACCAAAACTCTATATATACTATAGTTTTTCTCATATATACATACCTGTGATAAAATTTAATTTGAAAACTAGATTAACAACAATTAATAATAAAATAGAGCAGTTATAACAATATACTCTTGTAAAAGTTATTTAAAACAGCAATTTTTATTTCTGCCATTTCCCACTTAATATTTTCAGACTAGGTTTGACACCATGTAATCGAAACTGTACAAAGAGAAATTGCAGACAGTAGAACTACTCTAGTTCTTCTATCAGACCTAGTTATTGCAAAAGATTTTGTCTCCCTCTCAGCAGTGTCTTGAACTTCATACTTCCTGTGTAGTACATGGCTTGAGTAGTTTATGCTCTTGCTTTGCTACTGGAAAGATCTATTAAAATCCTAGAGCAACTGCAGATTTTCCTTAGAAAGTTTAATGTCTTTCTCTCAAGAATGATATCATTCTCCCTGTGTTGTGCTGTTACACAACACAACTTTCTCTTCTGTGCTTATGCTCAGCTGTGTGGGAACAAGTGTCTATCTTGATTTTTGGACACAGTAAGGAACTCTGTCTGAATGAATATTACCCAAAGAAAGCTCCAGGCTGCTTAGAGGCCACTAACACTGATTCTGCCCAGGTAGCATTATCAAAGGCTTTAGTTCCTGCCTTCAAATACCATCTGAGCAAAACTTGACCAGATTAGAACAGAATAAAATTATATGAAGTGGGTCCAAGAAAGCATTAGGCGGGCACCTCTAGAAGTTGTATTGGGCAATAAAGAGTAAATGGCATGAATCTGAGAGTAGAAAAGCAGTAAGGGACCACAGTGAGCACTGTAGTAAATGGGAATTAGCAGTGCAACCACAGATATGCAGGACTACAAGGATTTCATGTGGTACTGGAGCAGGAATAAAACAGACTGGGGATATAGAATTAATGGTCAAAA